CGCATTCATACTGTAGTTAGAAAGACTTGACCAACAAGGGCCGGGGATACGTAGAGAAGAAGAAAAAATGTTGAAATGTGTCATAGAATGTTGCACGAGTATTACTCGTATGAGTGGTTGGAACTTTATACATACATCGGAAAAAAAAAAGAAATGAAAAATAATGCAAAGAAAAAGTTTAACACAATAGGAACTATGGTGATGTTAAGGCAATTGACTATTCCATATATCCACACTACACACAATGTGTTCCTGCTAGCAAGCAGTGGAACGAGTTCTCTATTGTTTATTTCTAAGCAAATATTTGATTTTAGAAAAAATCCAGTTTTGAAAAAACAGCTTTTGTTTTCTCTTAAAAATTTTAGGAAATTTAATCTTATTGAATCTTATTTAAGTTTAAAGAAGTCAAAGAAAAAGTTTGCTTTCAAAATTAAAATAAACTTAATGGAATGGAAGAACTAAATATCGGTTATAACTATGAAAAACTATAGAGTTTTCCAATAGGTTTAACCTTAAACACTCTGGTGGAGGTTCAAATGATATTCTGCAAAATTGTCGTAGGTTTTCAAAGTTTGTTTTAAGTTTTTAAAAAATTGGCGTTTCGGATTAAGTTATAATATAAGGCCCAGGAAAACATACGATCTAATTCATTCACGAATATGAAAAAAAGTTTGTAAACCGTTATAGTTTACATAACGCCATTCTGCATTACCGATTTGAATATATGATTGTCTCAAGGATTTGGATATAAGAATAATACTGCTATTTTCAAGCCAATAGGAATGTTTGGAATCCTAGTATTATCTATAGGCCGATATATAGGTTCAATCTTAGACATTTAAGTGGTTCAACTGATCGAACTTTAGCATCAACTGTTAATCTTTAAATAGTCCAACTTATGTTTCAATCCTTGAAACCCGTTGGTTGGTTCTCTGGTGTCATGCATTACGGATTAGAAGATATGGCTTCAAATTCATACGATTTTCATATGTTGTTGTTTTTTCAAACAATTAGTAATCGACTAAGGCTCCCAACATCGCCATTCTCAAATTCAGTCGGTAAGTTATTCTCAATTTAACGATATACATATTTGTCTAACGGAGTTGATGAGGAATAGCCACCGAAACTATGTCATTTGATTTGACCTTTCTATTCTCGGTTGTCGCGTATCTTTACCAACAAGGTGTGAGGGACCAATTCATATTTTGTCGTATATAAGCTGCTGAGTCATTGAACATTGCACCTTTCAGATTTTTGTCACATTCGAACTGTGATTCACGGAAACTATTACGATCATTCGATTTAGTGTTCGACATTTTCTTGTAGAGTTTTCTGAAGTTGACCCTTGCCCCTAACTTTTGGATACGTGCCATCAAAATCATGCAAATTGACGATATTTTTAACGTCACTAAATTATGTGTCCAAATGAATACAGTGGCTACCGCTCAAATTCGATTTGAAACCTCCAAAATGTGGTTTCTCCAAAATCCGATTTCTAAAGCTGCAGATCTTTGCCAAGAAGATTCGTGTGATCGTTCTAAGTCGAAGCTAATATTTATTTTACATCATTTGTGGACGACTTCAAGATCGGGCAAACTTAATCCTCTAAAGTTTTTCTTTTTCACTAAACCAATCTTTTGCGAAAGACATCTAGATCGTGGGTTTTTCAAAACTCACAGACCAATGCCCCAAACCATATTTCAAATTCAGCCGAACGATTGGACACTTGAACTGTACATCAAAATCATAAGATTTTAAACCTCAAATTTCTCAAAATATTTACATTCATTCAATTTCATATTCATGTCCTGAAATTTCCAATCAAGTTTATTTTAAACCTTCGAATTCCGTTTTTAATTGGATCACTGTTTTGAGGTACGCAAGTGTAACAAAACAAAACGTATAAAGTATGCAGCTGCTAAAACACGTTATTAATACAAAAGGTAATCTAACTTAAATTCTGGCCTTTTGTTATTTAAACGCGTACCAAAAGAACAGCATACAATTTATAAAACAAGTTTCTTCATCTTTAAAATAATACTACAAAACAATAAATAACATGAAATAAATATTAAGAAAAAATACAACACAATCGCGTATCATTCCATATCAATATCTAAATAACAGGGAATTAAGGCGACAGCGGCAGCAGCAGCAGCAGCAATAACAATACAAATCAATGATAATGAGCAGCAATGATTGTCCCTCCATCTTTATTTGTATCTGATTGAAAGAAAATGGATCATGATCTTAGATGAACTCTATGGGTATTGGAATATAGTTATGGTACATAAATTTCTCAGAGTTAAGCTTCCATAACTATGATTTATGATGTACTTGCGAATTGGCATATTTAATATGCAATTTTGTGAGAAGTTTTGCATCAGAAGCTTTAAATAATTAAGTAATATTATTTATTTTTCGACACTTGCTTGATCAACCAGATTGGTAGAGTGTAAAATGTTGTTGGAGAGAAGTGCAAATAATCTTGCATTGGCGGGTCAAGATCAACGTCAATATTCACACAATGATCCTTGTGAGAATCAACTAGTTCTTCTGTTTCCGTACATTAAGGACACTTCCTTAAAGGAGCTAAGATCACTTAACGTATACGAAAGCGAAGTGAACCTGAAAATTTTGGATATTCTGGTTCAGACAGTCATCGAAGCCAAATTGTATAATGAAGTCCCCCATTATTCGGAATATGTCACATCTATAAATGTATGCCTAAGCCCTTTCCATCTATTCGTAGTATTCTCACACAGTTACTCCTAGATTGATTTGCTCCTTTGCCTGAATATTGTCATCTAGTCTCCCAAATCATGCACTTTAATATTGTATGCACGACGTTTTTTGTCAACTTGTGCGAGGCAGGATGGTTCCAAAAGTGTTCTTATGTTCTAGGTTCCAAATCGAATCCCTAATTTCATTTCACAAGTCGGCATAGGTTGATCAGTTTTGTTATTTGCTGTGGATTAAGCATGTGGTAGGTTATATCGCCTAAGATCAGTAGTCAGAGCCTCGTTTGCTTTAAGAGAGAACACCAAATACTTACAAGGACTGTGGGTGAGATAGGTATTGAAAAGATTATCCGTGTGCGCACATAACGATGAGTGGATATTTAATTTTCGGCGTTATATGCTCTTAAGACTAAGATCACATTGTCCTAAAGGACTAGTTTAGCAGACAACCCATCTTTTGTAGTATTATATATAGAAAAGTCATTTTACAGTTTCCTGTAGGCGCTAAGTATCTTTCAAAATAAATCGCAATTTAACGGAATTCTCAAAGCCAAATATTCCAGGCTAAAAGTCACATATGGGACTGGACGACCCACTCTTCTCTCTTAAACTAAATACCTTGACAGTTTACCTAAACAGTGGCTTAGAATAGATGCTCTAATGAGTCGTAAAGAACGGACTTCATATATTTATCCACTCTCTTGAGAAACCATCGAGATTGGCACAAATACTTTAATGCCCATGCAGATATGAATACATAAATACATACGTACATTCAAGATGTCTCGGCCTTCCTTATAACGACTTTGTTCGAAATTAATAACAAGAAAGAGCATAACTCATCCATTCACACTCACACTCATCCTTCAGCATTGAACGATTGTTTCGGTTCGATACAAACCTAATGTTTAGAATAACTATAAGTTCTTGATCTTTAGGGAAGTCAAACGTTAAACGATTAAATATGTTGATTGGTTTTTGATGTCATCTTTCTTCGAGGACTCTGCCATCCCAAATATTACAATGGAATTTCCAAGACCAAGGTTCAAGTATTTATTCGAATTGACCTTCTTTTTTGAACCTATGATTTAGATTTCCAAATTTTACTTTCAAATACTCAACAGTCCATGCCTAGTTGGTTAAGATTTCAAGAATATATAGTTTTTAACACTACTCTCCAATCTTACATGATGTCAGATAGAACAAGTTTCATATGTAATCTTCTCAATATCTAAGAAAACCAAAACAAAACTCTGGCAAATATATGTCTATTTGACTAGGCCTTTATTCCATATGACAAGTGCATCAGGCCAAGGTATATTTTAGATTTCCGAATTCTACTTCTAAGTAGTCAAAAGCCTTCATTCCATTTAATAAGTGCATCAGGCCAAGGTGTACATTCGAATAGGCATCCTTTTTGAGGTTAGGCTTTAGATTTCCGAATTCTACAACAGTAGTCAACAGTCCATGACTATGTGTTAAGATACCTAGAACATATCGTATACATTTCTCCGATATTAAGTGTTGTCAAATACGAAAAGTTTCATACGTAATCGCTCTATATCTTAGATATGTATACCTATTAGATTAGGCTTTCATTCCTATTAATTAGTATATATGTACATCAGATTTCCGAAAGTTTCAAATGTATTTTACAGTATATTCGACTGCTCAATCTTTCGCATCATGACTTATTTAGAAACTGCCAATGAGGATGAGTATAAAACTGGGTAGATTTATTGCTCTAAAGGAATTGGAGAAGCCCAACTTTGTACCCAAAAGATAGAATAAGTTTCATATCAAGGCTTTAGATATACAGTAAAAAAAATCTCACAAACAGTTCCTTAAACATAAACTGCCATGAACCTAAATGATTGTTTCTAGTACAAACGAAATAAACCGAGGACACTAGAGACGACGAAGATTGATCTTATATTTTAAATTAGTACAAACACACACACACACATAAGCAAATATGCATGCTTAACTTAAATTTTATTTACTCTCAAATCAAACAAACACACTTGCATTAAAATTATCCCAAAAGTATGATGACGACGAAGCCCAAGATGATGATGATGATGAAGATGCTTTTGTTGTCAAACGACATTGCGGTCGGTATGACGTGTATGTAGTATGAAAGTATGAATGTGTTTGAATTAAAATGATTTAAGAGGGATACAAATTCCCATAAATCTTAAGGCCATTTTGGAATAATATTTTTAAACTAAAATTAAAAAACAAAAAAAAAACACTTACACTTTAAAACAGTAAATAACTGGGCTTATTAATGTTGATACTTATTTGTTTTAAGTTGTTTTTTTAATGTTGTTTTTGTCACTTCAAAAAAGCCTTTCAAATGATATAGAATTGCAAAATGAAATTAAAACTTTTTAGATTTTTTTTTTTTAATTTTTTTGTTTTGTTTTAAGAAAACGTTAATAGGCACTAAAAACAGGTTATTTGATTTTGCTGTTGTTGTAATTTTTATTTTATTTTAATCTTCTTTTCCTAGATTTTTTTTCAGCTTTTAAACTTTTATTCCTTTTTTCTGTTTCTTCGTCTTCTTCTTCTTCGGCTATTTTAATTGGTAACACTTTCAATTATCACTCTAGAAAAACAACAATTAAAGCTTTCTTTATAATTATTATTTATTTATTTTCACTAAACAATTAAATACAAAAACACCAACAAAAAAAGAAACAAATCGAGAAAAAAATCACTTTTGTATGCAATTAAAAGCAAAACAAAACGAAAAGAATAAATTGTTAAAACACACACTCACGCCTGCAAAACAAACACAAGAAAAATGAAAAACAAAAAATCCAAAACTAAAGAAACGCGCTTTTTATTTTGTTTTATTTAGTTTATATTTATGCGTAAATTTTAATTATTTTCTTTAACTAAAATGGTACAAGAGTCGTCGTTTTAACTAAAAAAATAGCTGAGCACTAGTTAAGCGTTAGTTTGCCGGTCGGTCGTATTGCTTCCGTATGACTGAAGTCGACTTTGCAAAGAAATAAAACAGAAACGGAATCGTAAAATCAAACACAAACTCGTACACACACTCGCACACACTTAACGAACAGAAAGAAACAACAAAAGCATAACACTTCGTAAACGTCATCATCACCAAACTCTTCGTTGTTAATATTGACGTCGCTGTCGTCGGCAACATCAGCTGCAGCAGCAGTAACAGCAAACACAACCAACATCAACAAAAACTTTAAGGCCTTCATTTTGGCCATATTCAATAGTTATTTGCTGTTGTTGTTTTTTTTTTTGTTGTTCTTGTTTTGTTGTCGTTTCATTGCCGTTTACACTCCTCTTATAGAAACCGGTGTTTTTTTTTCTAGTTTGTTTGTTTTTGTTGTTTATTTTCAATGCTGCTTTTGGACAGAACCCATTTTAAACGTAATAATGAGCAATGAGTAAATTATTTAAGCCATATTGATAAGAGAGTTCAGTACGTAAATGAGAGTACATATTTGTTTTAGCTTTCTTAAGCTGAATCCGACTCTTAAATGCCCTACAAATATTCGAAAATACAAATGAAAATCTAGGCATATCGTACCTAAACAACTGTTTCTAGAATTCATGATTTATCCTAGACCTCATGCAAATATTCCCCGTAACTTTTCGGATAATGGTTTTACATATTAAACTAAACGTCTCATCGCATAGACCGACCGACGTTGCATAATAATGTTAGAACTAAAAATAGTAATTTTTTATAATAAAAGAACAGCACTTCTTTTGAGGCCTAGAATGAATGAATCCAATTTTGAATTCGAAGCAAATAGTAGTTGAACTAGGCAAAGTCTTTTTCTTTTACGCTTTCATATCTGTTTGCATATTCTAAGAAATTTTCGGTACAGATCTCCTGTGAAGGTCTGGCCTGATTTCAGCAGTTTTTGTACTTTCGGTCTCACCATTACATTAGCGCCACAGATATTTGACTTTTGTGTCGATTCAACTGGTTGCGCTTAATACACGATATCTTATGATTCGGATTTCCGCAATATGGATCTCCTTTTCATAGCAAGTAGTGATTCGGTCATCGTCTATCGATGTCTCTGGGCTTTAATTCAATGTATCATTATTTTTATTGAAAGAGGATATAATTACCAACCAGTAATTCTTAAAATAATACCTGAATACCTCGTTTAACACTGGAAATGCAAAATAAATTATCTAACATACCCTCAAATTAGTTGTAGGGTACCTTAAAAAATTACTCATTGTATAAAAAACTCTCTTAAAAATGCACATTTTCTTTGCCCTCTCTAAACAAACACAATTTCCTTTACAAAAACACAAAAAGCCGGTAATTCAATAACAATACAAACGTACCTACGATGCGTATGAGTATTTATATCAGGCATGGAAAACTTAAAATTCTTAAGTTAGACTATAGACTAGACTATAGTCTATAGTTTAGTCTATAGTGTAGTCCATAGTCTAGTCTAGTCTTCTAGTCTATAGTCTAATCTATAGTCTAGTCTATAGTTTAGTCTATAGTCTAGTCTATATTCTAGTCTATAGTCTAGTCTATAGTCTAGTCTATATAGTATAGTCTATAGATTAGTCTATAGTCTAGTCTATAGTCTAGGCTATAGTCTAGGCTATAGTCTAGTCTATAGTCTAGTCTATAGTCTAGTCTATAGTCTAGTCTATAGTCTAGTCTATAGTCTAGTCTATAGTCTAGTCTATAGTCTAGTCTATAGTCTAGTCTATAGTCTAGTCTAGTCTAGTCTATAGTCTAGTCTATAGTCTAGTCTATAGTCTAGTCTATAGTCTAGTCTATAGTCTAGTCTATAGTCTAGTCTATAGTCTAGTCTATAGTCTAGTCTATAGTCTAGTCTATAGTCTAGTCTATAGTCTAGTCTATAGTCTAGTCTATAGTCTAGTCTATAGTCTAGTCTATAGTCTAGTCTATAGTCTAGTCTATAGTCTAGTCTATAGTCTAGTCTATAGTATAGTCTAGTCTATAGTCTATAGTCTATAGTCTAGTCTATAGTCTAGTCTATAGTCTAGTCTATAGTCTAGTCTATAGTCTAGTCTATAGTCTAGTCTATAGTCTAGTCTATAGTCTAGTCTATAGTCTAGTCTATAGTCTAGTCTATAGTCTAGTCTATAGTCTAGTCTATAGTCTAGTCTATAGTCTAGTCTATAGTCTAGTCTATAGTCTAGTCTATAGTCTAGTCTATAGTCTAGTCTATAGTCTAGTCTATAGTCTAGTCTATAGTCTAGTCTATAGTCTAGTCTATAGTCTAGTCTATAGTCTAGTCTATAGTCTAGTCTATAGTCTAGTCTATAGTCTAGTCTATAGTCTAGTCTATAGTCTAGTCTATAGTCTAGTCTATAGTCTAGTCTATAGTCTAGTCTATAGTCTAGTCTATAGTCTAGTCTATAGTCTAGTCTATAGTCTAGTCTATAGTCTAGTCTATAGTCTAGTCTATAGTCTAGTCTATAGTCTAGTCTAGTCTAGTCTATAGTCTAGTCTATAGTCTAGTCTATAGTCTAGTCTATAGTCTAGTCTATAGTCTAGTCTATAGTCTAGTCTATAGTCTAGTCTATAGTCTAGTCTATAGTCTAGTCTATAGTCTAGTCTATAGTCTAGTCTATAGTCTAGTCTATAGTCTAGTCTATAGTCTAGTCTATAGTCTAGTCTATAGTCTAGTCTATAGTCTAGTCTATAGTCTAGTCTATAGTCTAGTCTATAGTCTAGTCTATAGTCTAGTCTAGTCTATAGTCTAGTCTATAGTCTAGTCTATAGTCTAGTCTATAGTCTAGTCTATAGTCTAGTCTATAGTCTAGTCTATAGTCTAGTCTATAGTCTAGTCTATAGTCTAGTCTATAGTCTAGTCTATAGTCTAGTCTATAGTCTAGTCTATAGTCTAGTCTATAGTCTAGTCTATAGTCTAGTCTATAGTCTAGTCTATAGTCTAGTCTATAGTCTAGTCTATAGTCTAGTCTATAGTCTAGTCTATAGTCTAGTCTATAGTCTAGTCTATAGTCTAGTCTATAGTCTAGTCTATAGTCTAGTCTATAGTCTAGTCTATAGTCTAGTCTATAGTCTAGTCTATAGTCTAGTCTATAGTCTAGTCTATAGTCTAGTCTATAGTCTAGTCTATAGTCTAGTCTATAGTCTAGTCTATAGTCTAGTCTATAGTCTAGTCTATAGTCTAGTCTATAGTCTAGTCTATAGTCTAGTCTATAGTCTAGTCTATAGTCTAGTCTATAGTCTAGTCTATAGTCTAGTCTATAGTCTAGTCTATAGTCTAGTCTATAGTCTAGTAGCTAGATAGTTAGTCTATAGTCTAGTCTATAGTCTATCTATAGTCTAGTCTATAGTCTAGTCTATAGTCTAGTCTATAGTCTAGTCTATAGTCTAGTCTATAGTCTAGTCTATAGTCTAGTCTATAGTCTAGTCTATAGTCTAGTCTATAGTCTAGTCTATAGTCTAGTCTATAGTCTAGTCTATAGTCTAGTCTATAGTCTAGTCTATAGTCTAGTCTATAGTCTAGTCTATAGTCTAGTCTATAGTCTAGTCTATAGTCTAGTCTATAGTCTAGTCTATAGTCTAGTCTATAGTCTAGTCTATAGTCTAGTCTATAGTCTAGTCTATAGTCTAGTCTATAGTCTAGTCTATAGTCTAGTCTATAGTCTAGTCTATAGTCTAGTCTATTAGTCTATAGTCTAGTTAGATTAGACTATTGAAGGTAGAAAGGTTCTACCTATAGTATTAAATTTTCCATCCCTGAGCTGTATACCAACTTTATCACTGTTTTTTATAAAATTTTTAAAGAGTGTGGTAAAATAAGGAGTGCTATTCTGCTCTTAAAAAACACGCAACCAAACAAATAAATTAGAACTGAAAAACTCCAAAATAAACAATTAAAAAAGTACTATATCACTATTTTTAATAATAATTGAATACAAAACAAATAAAACTATCCATCACATCAAACTTAAGATTTTCTCATTAATTGCTAAAGTCATGTCCTGATGGACCGGCTTAAAAATAAGAAACACAAATCTCACAAAAACAAACAATTAAATTGCATTTGATTTCATCATCATCAACTCTTTTTTTTTCTTTTTAAACTGCATCCATTCATGCGTATTGATTCTGTTGTGTGCAGACTGAGTTGAATTTTTGGTGATGCTGACTGGTTAAATGGTTGGTTGGATGGTTGACTGGCTAACTTTGTTGTTATCTGGTTACAATGGTTGGGTTAACGGACCGACTGAGTGCCTGACTCACTGTCTGATTGTGTCGTTTGTTAAGCAGGTAAGAATTTTAATCTATTTTACTTATGGTTTTACCATCAATACCACAACTACTATGTATGATGGTATTTTGTATTTCATTGTTTGTTTGTTAGTATCTGTTAATGTGATGATCTCAATATTTATTAGTTTCAATTCTTTTGTATTTGATTTTGAAAATAATTTCATATGTTATGTCACCAACAACAAATAAAGTTACCATACATTAAAGGCTGCTTGTTTGCCAAACAAATGATGCAGCAACATAATTAGAAATAAACAAATCTCTTTGAAACCAGGCATGGACAATTGAAATTTTGAAATAGTACTAACTTATAACAAAAATAGTACAATTTAGGTTTTAAAGTACTAAATTAATTTTCCACTAGACTATAGGTCAGAATGTAGACCATACTATAGACTAGACTACAGACTGAATTATAGACTAGCCTATAGACTAGATTATAGACTAGACTTTAGACTACACTTGACTATAAACTAGAACATAGAATACTATAGACTGTTTTATAGTCAAGACCAAGGGTCAAGACTATAGACTGTTCTACTAAGACTCTTTATAGCCAAATTTAATAAAGGAACAAAAACAAATTGTACTAGTTATTTCAAATCACTCACCTTTTTTAAATAACGATATACTCCCGTCGGTATTTCCTTGCATACAAAAACAATATTTCCACATTGCAACACACACACATTTACATACATA